CACCCACAGAGAAAGGAAAAAAGGCAGTAATTATTGATAAGGTAGTAAGCATGCTGTGGCTTCAGCTGTCGCATTTTATTTTAAAGAAAGAAAAAGTAGCTTGCAAAGCTGTCGCATCGGTGCAACGTGATTAAAAGCAGAGCTGAGCGTCTAATCACACAAATGTCTTCCTATCTTTGTGAGGACCACACACAGCGCTCAGCCTCGCTCTGTGCCGTCTTTTTCCCAAAGTTTGGTGAGAGGTGGATATGGAGGGATGCAAAAAATAGCTCTCGACTTGATCTGGCTTTATTTAACTAAAAATGACTACATGCCGTGAAATTCTTAAGAGGGGCGGGCCGTCTCGTTGGCGGGTGGTGGGGCCGCCCCGCCTGTATAATGGTAGGGGAAACACTGCTAACCCTAAAATATTATTCTAACAATTATCAAATTAACTCAAGAGGATTACGTTATGTAAACGTACACATTTTTTAACATCTGCATTAAAATCTCTTATTGCAGATCAACAGATAAGACAGAAAAGTCACTTACAGACGTAATTCTTCAAAGGATTTGACAGAATAAAGTGGAGAGTTGGGGTCCTTCTGAAGAACTTCCACTTGATTTGTTGTATTAACGAGATTATTCCGTATCAGCTTGTTCAGCAGTGACTGTGCTGCTTTGTCGTCTGAAAGACACAATACCAATCAATCACTCAAACCTCCWTTATAAAGCAATTTACATACAGTAAGGTATTAAATTTTGTTATACAAAAACAAATAAACTACGTGCAAGATTTAGAAATGTAATAAGTTGTAAAAGGATTAACATCAATGACAAATGAAGGACTGAAGAAACTAAGTAAAAATAATGTCAGTGTTGAGGAAAACCTGAAGTTATAAATGTATAATTTGTATTTGAACAGCAAAAATACGACATCAAAAAACAATATAACAAAACAAGAAAGAGCAAATGACTAAGTTAGAGTAAGATAAAGTACTTTTTTATTATAAAAAAGGACCTGTCACACTATAATGTTTTAGACAACTTATGAAAAATTTGTCTGACTTTGAAGATGTCTACATTGCTGATAGAATTTTTAAAAAAAATCAGCGGTAGCCTCTATTAAACACACATAAAGCAATGCTAATGATTAGATCAAATATATAATGTATGCATCATAAAAAATCTAATAAATTGTCTAAAACATTATAGTGTGACAGTACCTTAAAATGAAGAAAGAAAATAATTAGGAATAAATATATCAAACAAATGTATGGATAAAAGTTGCAGTTGCTTAAAAAAACAACCCTCTCAGTCATCCTCAGGAAGGCTTGTTCCACAGGAAAAAATAAAACTGTATCACCGTGGAATATAGTTTTAACTTCAGATAAAAATCAGAAAGCCACCTCCAGACAATTTAAAGGATCTAGAGKGTTTATAAGATTAAAGTAAGTTTGATAGACATAATATTTTAAACATCTTTAAAAAAATTTAGAACCCTAAAAATCAATGGCAAAGCACAGGWTGCCAGTGTAGAGACTTTACAGTAGGAGTGACGTGAGCTGTTTTTCTAAATTTTGTCAACACTCATAACGTGAAGTTCTGAAGCAGCTGCAATTTGTTTTGGAAAGACCAGAAAGCAGATTATGATCATATCTCTGCATTGGACTGACAGAAAAACAGTCAAACTCCAGCAATATTTTCAGATGGTAAATTGTGATCTTAGTGACWTTTTTCAGCTTGATCTAAGAATTCATTGGCAGAACTATGGGCTTCTCAGTGCTAATTGCTAAAATTTTTGATATATGGCGGAAAACCCCCCACTAAGCCTTCACCCGTGGGATAATACAAATGTATTAAGATGGTCATATAAAATACGTACCTTTGTCGTCATCATCTGTAGGTTTGCTTTCTGCTTCAGTTTCTGGTTTTACTGCWGCGCTGGTGGACTCAGCAGCGTTTTGTACTGTTCCTGCAAAATGTACAAATACGGTTAATTTACAAAATGTGAGGGCTTTCTATAAATTAATTTTCAATGTTCCCCTCTTTCACATGTTTGAACTTACCATTTTCTTCTGGTTTGTCTTTTATTTGAAGGCTACCGATCTGTGAAGAGGAATGTGACAAACTTTTTATTAGTACAGTGGTTGTTTAGCATTGTTTTTGTTGTCCATTASCTTGCTAACGTCATGAGCTAATACCCCGTCAAGCCGGTACTGTAATTTTCGGATAAATAAAATTGTTCGAGAATAAAACTACCACTGAGTCTTGTTTCTCTTTGACAGCGCTGTCACCGGACAATTTCGGTTGTTACAAAAATAAACACCGAAAGTTACTTTTGATCCAGACAGCCTCATGATGAGGCCAAAGCTAACAACAGATTAGCTCCAGTTTTAGTTCAGGCTCACCGATTCCGCCGCGGCTTCTTGCTCGTCCACGGCCTGCGCCCAGGAGTCTGTAGCCATTGTGGGATAGTTTTACGAATTATTCCAAGATTTAGGATGAATAAACCAAAGAGTCTAGCTTTGAATGACCAGTCAGCAACGTGAAAGTTACTCCTTTCCTCGCTRCGATGGCGTGCCAGTCTTGATTCTGGACAAGTGTGCAACCGATAACCWTACCGAGTACCAAACACGAAGACAACAATAGTTCCGTACCTATTGCGCGATGTTTGCCTGTATCTGTTCGTATGGCTTTTAAATTCGAAACTAGCACTATATATATAT